TTGGGAGAAAGTTCTATAGGGTGCTGAATAGAAAATATATTCCTTGGTGCTTGGGTAGAATATTCAGTAGATGTCTATTAGGTCCATTTGATGTATGGTATAGTTTAATTCAGATGTCTCTCTGTTTATTCTTTGTCCCATTAACCTGTCAAATGGAGACAACAGTGTATTAAAGTCCCCTAACAAAAAGATGGGTTTTGTTTCTTAATCCATTCACCTAGTCTGTGTCTTTTGACTGGGGAGTTCAGTCCATTGATATTTAAAGTTACTAATGAAAGATGTGTACTGATTACTGTCATTTTTATTTCTGTTCACATTCTTGGTGTAGCTGTGCATTTCCATAGTTACACCTTCATTATATTTCCTTTTGTAACCCCTTGGGTATAGTTGTTTCTTTCTTCAGCTCTTTGTATTGCTTCAAGAACTCTCTGAAGGGCTGGTTTTGTGGACATGAATTCTTTCAGCCTATTTATGTTGTAGAAGACCTTTCTTTCCCCTTCAACTACAATAGACATTTTTGCTGGGTAAATTATTCTGGGTTGGCGTCTGTGGTCATTTCGAACTGGGAATATTTTGGCCAGGCTCTTCTGGCTCTCATAGTTTGCACTGAAAAGTCACCTGTAATTCTGAATGAAAGATGTGTATTGATTCAATGTCATTTTGATTTCAGTTTGCATTCTTGGTCTCACTGTGCATTTCCACAGTTATATCTTCATTTAATTTCTTTCTATTACCCCTTGGGCATAGTTGTTCCTTTCTTCTGCTCTTTGTATTGCTTCAAGAACTCTCTGATGGGCTGGTTTTGTGGACATGAATTCTTTCAGCCTATTTATGTTGTAGAAGACTTTTCTTCCCCCTTCAACTACAATAGACATTTTTGCTGGGTAAATTATTCTGGGTTGGTGTCTGTGGTCATTTCAAACTGGGAATATTGTGGTCCAGGCTCTTCTGGCTCTCATAGTTTGCACTGAAAAGTCAGCTGTAATTCTGATGGATTTTCATGGGGAGTTTCTTTTCTGGTCCTGTCTATTTGGTGTTCTGTGTGCTTTTTGTATTTGTATGGGCATGTCTTTCTTTAATTTTGAGAAAATTTCTCCTACAATCCTATTGAAGATTTGGTGCATACCATTATCCTGTGATTCTTCTCCTTCCTCCATGCCTGTGATACATAAATTTGGTCTTTTTATGGTGTCACACACTCCCCGCATCTCCCATTCCTGTGTTTTCTTAAATTGCTCTTCTGGCTCTCATAGTTTGCACTGAAAAGTCAGCTGTAATTCTGATGGATTTTCATGGGGAGTTTCTTTTCTGGTCCTGTCTATTTGGTGTTCTGTGTTCTTTTTGTATTTGTATGGGCATGTCTTTCTTTAATTTTGAGAAAATTTCTTCTACAATCCTATTGAAGATTTGGTACATACCATTATCCTGTGATTCTTCTTCCTCCATGCCTGTGGTACATAAATTTGGTCTTTTTATGGTGTCACACACTTCCTGCATCTTCCATTCCTGTGTTTTCTTAAATCTTTCCATAATCTTTGCTTCATCAGCTTTATCTTCCAACCCCAATATTCTGTTTTCCATTTCATTCATTCTATTGGTGAGGCTTTCTCCTGTCATTTCTAATTGGCTTATTGAGTGCATGAAAGGAGAAATAATGTGATTAGTATTATGTTACAGAAAAAAATTATTTTAACCCAAAACACAAAAAGAAAGTCCAAAAGAAATGATATTGATGTAGTCTAAACTATAACTCTGAGGTCAGTGTCTATACTTAAATCTCTATAAAAACAAACATGGTGTAATTTGTCTTAAGGATATGAATTCTATGTTTTGGATGTTATCTCTAGGTCTCATTGTACTCCTCTATTTCAGGGCTGTTGGTGCTTGGTGGGATATTTTATTAGGATTTTTCATGTTATTAGTTTTTTTCACTGTGACTTTGGCATGTGGATTTCTTTTGTAGTTTCTGATTCTTGTGTGAGACTCAAGCCTTCCTTTTTTGAGTTTATGTCTGTTTCTGTTTATATACTTTATGTGCCTTTGTTGTTTTCTTATTGGGCATGAAAAGCTGGTTGGTCTAGGCTTCAGGTTTTCTCTTTTGCTTTTATATTGGAAGGGCCTGATGGCTTTAGCCCAGAGATGCTCAGGAGTTCCCACAGACTCCTAAGTTGGATGAGGATCAGATGCTTTTAGGCTTCCTCCTCAGGTCTGGTTCCCTCTAGTCAGCAGGTACAGTACAATTTGGGAGGCTTGCTAGGTAGAAGTAGGATTCAGGCATGCTCAGACAGCCAGGGCAGAGGCTGGTCTCAGGAATCCCAGGAAAGGTTAGGGTCAGCCAGGTTGGAAGCCAAAGTCTTTAGGTGTGCAAAGACAAGTTGGGGATGGAGACAGACTGAAGGCTCTAGGGAACTAGACTGAAGAATTAGGTTGGTCTCAGGATGTAGTGGGGGGATCTAGGCCAAGAGGGTAATCCAGAGGTCTAGGGTGCCAAGAGAAGAAGTGGGCCTGTGCCCAGGGCTAAAAGGGGAATGGAATGTGGGAGCTGGGAGATTGAATCAGGTTGTGTGAGTCAAGACCCAGGGGGTGGGGTCAAACTTACCTGGGAAGGAGGCTGGCCTCAGGAATTCCAGGCAGATTGGGCAGCGGGGGCGGGGGGGGGCGTTGCCAGGGGAAGAAGGCTGGTCTCAGGTCTCAGGCATGCAAAGGCAAATTGGGGGTGGGGACTGGCTGTGAGGTCTCTAGGGAACTAGACTGAAGAATTGCGTTTGTCTGAGTACAAAGATCAGGAAGCAGTCGGGGGGATCTGGACCAAGAGGGTAGTCCAGAGGTCTGGGGTGCCATGAGAAGAAGTGGGCCTGTGCCCAGGGCTAGAAGGAGAATAGATGTGGGAGTTGGGAGATTGAATCAGGTTGTGTTTTTATTTATTACTTTTATTTTATGTGTAAGATTGTATTGCCTGCAAGTATGTAAGTGCACCCATGTCATGCAATTCCCACAAAAGTCAGAAGAGGGCATTGAATTCCCTTAGAACTGGAGTTCTGAATGGTTGTTAGCCCACGTGGGTACCGGAAATTGAAACCAGGTCCTCTGCAAAAGCAGCCAGTGCTTTTATCTGCTGAGCCATCTCTCCAGCCCCTGAAATGATTTTTAAAAGTCTTCATTTCTCTAAGTTAATATTACAAATATAGAGCCTTCATGATTTGTACGTGTGTTATCTTATTTTTTTATGCCTAAAGAGCTTGAGTTCATTGTTATTTCATATACTACTGTGACCATCTTACCGTTTTTTTAGTTTCTAAATAATTTATTGGGATACTGCATGAAGGAAAGAAGCAATGCAAATATTGCTGGTTCTTCCTCTTACCTTCTTTTTATTTAAATAATATTTTATTGACTCTGAGAATTTCATAATTGATCATATTCACCTCCTCCTAGATCCACCTCAGTTCCCAACCCACCTAACTTTATGTCTATTTTTTAAAGTCCATTGATTCCAATTTGTGTTGCTCAAACATTCTTGGGTATGGGTCTTCCCACTGGAGTGCAGTCAACCTATTAAGGATCACATTCTTAAAACTGACTCTCCCTCTTACAACAGCTATCAATTGCCAACAGTTCATCTGCTGGGGTGAAGCTTTGTGCCCACCTCCCTCTGCATTTTGCCTGGTTGATATTATGCAAGTCCTGTGCATGCTGTCACAACTACTGTGAGTTCACGCGTGCCATTGTCTTGTTATTCTGGAAAACACTATTTCACTGTAGTCATCAGCTGCCTCTGGCTCTTATAATCTTTCAGCCTCCTCTTCTGAGTCTATTCCTGAGCCTTGGGAGTATGGGTATGTTATAAATGTCCCATTTGAGGCTGAGAACTTTGCAATCTCTTATCCTCTGCGTGTTGACAAGGTTGTGTGCCACCTGAACACACCAGATGCCATCTTCCTGACACTTATGAGTAAAAAATATACTGAAAGATCCCAACATTCATTTTGAAACATTTTACAAAAGGCAAGGGAAATTAAGGAAAATTTTTTCTTTTAAAATGATGAAAATCCTGAACATCTGATCCTAGTAAATATATTTTAAAAATACAAGATTTCTTGTGAATTTTATTCCAGTTCCCTTTCATAAGAAATGAATAATTAATCATCTGACACATAATCTGAGGCCCTGGACAAATGAATTTAGATCTCACCAAACACACATAGAAGAGAGACCTCCCAGTGCAGACATCTTCTCTCACCCTCCAGCCCCTCCTGCTAATGCCAGAAAATCCCTACAGTAATATAAAGGAGAGAAATTGATATAATCTTGGGTATTTTTTTGGACATGGGAGTACCCTTATCAGATGATCCAGTAATGTTTTTGTTTTCTGATTTGGGGGCTTGGGAACCAGCAGTTGGTCTCTGGGTTTTTAGTGGTGGCAATCAACCTCAGGTCCTCTCACATGTGAGGTAAGTCTCTACCACTGTGCTTCATCTCCAGTCCCACACTGACGCTCCTCAGAGAGAGATGTGCTATACTCTACTGCATAGTTGTTCTGGAGAATAAGCCTATTTCAGTCTCGTCGTGTTTCTGGTACTCTTACCTTTATATATGGTCTCACATTCTAGTTGTTCAAATAGTTGTCATTTGAACATCTGATGGATTTACACATGAAATTGATGTTAGAAACAATGTCTTGATAGGCTAAGCTGAAGTACAGTCACTGTCAAATAATAGTTTGGTGACATTAAAACTTCCACTTCTTTTTTGGCAGTGTTGAGTATCAAACCAGGACCTAATGCATTCAAGGCACTCCCACTGAGCTACAACTATAACCCAGAAGTTTCACCTTTTTCTTGCTCAAAATCACCAAGTCACTCACCTACGAGCAGTTGCATAAGGTGACTACTTCAGAATATTAAGGAAATATACTTATTCATTCTTTTTCTTTTGTTTGTTTTGCTTCGTTTCGTTGTTTTGTTTTTTGAGACAGGGTCTCACATAGCCAAGGCTGGCCTCAAACTTGCCATGGAGCTGAGGATGGCCTTGAACTACTAACAGTCCTGCTTCTACCCCACCAAGTGCTGGAATTACAGGTACACACCACCATGCACAGCTTCTGTTCATTTTCCCTTACCATGCATATTTGTCATTACACTGTATATTAGTTACTTTTCTGTTGCTGTGATAAAACATCAAGACTAAGGAAACTTATAGGAAGAACGTATTTAAATTTATGGCTCCAAGTTCTAGGTGGATTAGAGTCCATCATGGTGGGAAGGCATGGTGAGGTGACTGGAGCAGGATCAGAAAGCTAAGCCCTCACATCTTCAAGCAGGTACAGGAAGCAGAGAGATTGGAAATCCAGCAAGGCTTAAGAACTCTTTAAGCCCTCCCCCCAGTCACATACTTCCTGCAGCAAGGCTACACTTTCTAAGACCTTCCAAAACAGTGACACCAAGTGGGGACAAAAAACTGGAGCCTCTGGCGGGGGGGTATTCTCATTCAAATCACCGCATTCTACTCCTTGGCCCCCATAGGTTCATGATCATATAAAATGTAAAATGCATTAGGTACAACCTTAAAAGTCCCCATAGTCAGAGTGAACAGGAATCTTCCCCTGCCTCCTGTGGTTATCCAGGATAGAAGTCCTTGTTTTCCAAAGGTTACATTCCTGTAACCTTTACCCAGTATAGAAATCTTTGTTGCCCAAGGCTTTTGCATTTCTGTTACCTCTGCATTTCTATCACCTTTGCAGCCCTGTTATCTTTCTTAATTACCATGTATATGGTTTGTACCTTTTGCTTGCATTCTGCACATGAGTATAAAAACCCTCCAAAACATGGGGCGGGGGGAGTCCCCAGAGTCTTTATGAGTCTCAATACTATTCAAAAGTTCATAGTCCAAAAACCTCTTCTGAGACTCAAGGCAACCCTTAACTGTAAGCTCCTGTAAAATCAAAAGACAAATTACATACTCCCAATGTACAATGTAACCAAATACACACTCCTATTCCCGGGGGAAGGAATTGAGGTATACTGGATCAAAACAAGCAGAGCAAACACCAAATTCAGTATCTCCATGTCTGACAACTGGGACTTTACTTCCGAAGGGCTTAGATGGCTCAGTCCCTTCAGCTTTGCTGCATGCCACATACATTTCTCACTTGGGCTGGAACCACTCTCTGTATGCAGCTCTCCTTGGCAGATGTCTGATGGTTCTAGCATCTCCAACACCTTCTTGGCGGTCTCACCTTCACAGCTTTACACAACAGCCTGTCAGGACCTCTTGGCTTGTCAAGGCCCTTGTGCAGGGACACCCCTGCTAGGAGCTGCCTGGCCTCAGCAGCTCTCCAAAACCTTGAAGGAAGAACCAATGACCACTTCATTCTTGCATCTTTAAAGTCAGCACCATGTGAACGACACTGCCAAGTTCAGCTGGCAGCCTGAGATGGACCCTCACCCATTTCATCCACATTACCAGCAGCTTTTGTGGGTTGCAATTTTCTAGGAGAAAATGTCTAGACTGCTCTTTAACCTCTCTAATCTCCTTTTCAAAGGGAGACTCTCCTTCCACACATACCTTAGCTCCAACATTAATCTTCCTAATGCTTTCTTCAGTCCAAACTGCACATTCTTCATTGCTTTCTGCCCCATTTGCTCTTTTTCACTGTAGATCTGCATAATATTCACCATTAACAGTCATGCCACCATTTCTACGTTTGGCTGTCATGAAATTTCCTGC